TTATGAATCCAAGACTTAACCATGCTATTACAACGAGACCAGATTCTACAATGAGGATGATTCTCTGGTGGCTTAGGTAGCAAACCATCAACAAACGATAATTTGTTCTTCGCATCTAAAAACAATAATGATAACTAGAATCCAAGTGTTATAGTTCGTACCATCGAGTACCTCGGAAATGATGGAGGAACCAGGATTATCACCATTCGTTAGAAAGTAAGTTGAGTACTGGATTCCATCAAAGTTAAACGCCTCTGTTGGAATCAAGTTTGGATAGCTCATCGGAATAGAAGAGCTAGGATTTCATGGAAATGTCATCGGAATAGCTGGATCTGGAATAGTCGTCATCAGAATAGATCGACGATCTGTTTGTCTTGTCGTTGTCTTCGTCGCTGAAGCAGATACACGAACACCACGACGCGTTGACTTACGAAGCGTAACCATTTTAATGAAGATAAAGCTCGAATTTGACGGAATAATCAAAACCTGCAGCTGAAGAAAGGATCAATCGGATCAAAACTGACGAGTCTAGGTCAAAGAAAATGCGGAAACGAAGATCGAGAGCCTGGAGGAGACTGGATCTATTTCGCTTTTTCTTTTCTCTGGAGGAGAAGACTTTTCTACCATACCTTCGCCTTCCCATTCTATAGTTGAGGTCTCCGCCTACTGGTTACCTGCATCACTAATAATTCATAAGTAACTAGTTTACTCAGTGAGTCTAATCCCATACCCAATACATATCCCGAGCGATCGACAACATTTGTATACAGTGGAAATATATTCCATAACTAATATAAATATACAAGGCCTATCATTTAATCAATATGAATCGTATCTTAAACATCACTTCCACATCACCCGCCAATCACTTCATCATATATATATATATACAATATATATACTAAACTTGATAAACCACAAAGGCTAACCGAGCTTAGTGAGTTAGCATTACCATCATCCTCGAATATTCTAATGAACATTCGAGACTGCATCGTCATGCAGTACACGGCCTCCAGGGTGATACCCCATCATCGTGTCTTCATGACCTTGTTCCATTCGGAGGACCAAGTCACGGTAATGCGGGGACTTTAGGGAAAGTGAATATGATAAAACTTCACATGATTCTTACTCATATACTTAATCATATACTTATATATTAGTACTTGAGAACAAGTACTAAGGCTCAGGATAAACCTCAAATAATATTTTATATTAATTCTTATTGTGTTTACACAAGGTAAACACTTCACACAATTATAGATTAATAAACTTTGCTTATCAGTCTCAATATTAAATAATCATTCATGTATTACTCATTCATAACTCATCAACATCTATCTAGACTCACCTTTAATCCATGAGATTGGCTAAGGAAGACTAGACACGAGCTCAAGCTAAGGACACTCAACCTCTGGATCAGTCTCGGTTCAGAACCATCACAAGGATCTGGCTGATCCGACCACTCTCATTGACCATCTGAATTTAAAACGGAAAGGTTGGAAAATAAAGATCAATCACTTCAGTTCGGTTCAAAAAGATAATCAACTCAGCTCAGTTCGGTTCTAATTATACTAGATGAATACAGCTTGGTTCAGACAGGCCTGGTTCATTGGTGATCAGTTAATTTTAACTCAGACTAATTAAGGACAAGATAAGTTTAGACTTAAGGCAGCTCGGCACAGCTCCATAATCAGTTCGGTTTAATTTCAGTTTCCCGTATTAATTCAGCTACTGGTTCTATGAGATCGATCCAACCATAAACCAACAAGGACTGAACCATACAAAGTCTTAGACCACTGATCTGGACAGGTTAATCAACAGCTCAAACAGCTTGTTGAAATCAAAACAGTTCTGAATCAAGAGGCTAAGCTTACTGGTTTTTACTCAAAGCTAGATGAATTCGGTTTCACTCTTTCTCCAAGATGCTCACGCCTTGACCTTAAGACCAAAGGAATCATGGTCAATTCATGATCAGAACAGCGCTTAGATTTTAATCCGGACACAAAGCTCTACTAAAACTGATCTGATCTAAATCACAAATCCGTACTGATTAAAATCAAAGACTGAAGATATGGTGCTCTCAACTCCAAGATGAAGCCACGACAACCCTGATCAAAATCAAAGTCTGACGAACATGGGTGATTGTTAACTTCAGGACACCAAGATTTCAGCTCTTAATCATACCAGAACACACTGATTAAAGTCACGAGAGGCTGAGAAAGGGTCGTCCATCTCTTATGAATTTTCTTTGAATTTTTTTCCATGAGTTTTTTTTTTCACAGATATTCTCTCATCTCTCTCTTTGATTTTTCTTGCAGGCTATCGACGACCAAGCAGCTTAATGAAGGAGATAAATAGCTGAGGGGTTGCTTCAGAGGTGGGTTTCACTCAGCACAAAGCAAGGCTGAGAGTGGACAGGTGGAGAACTGCTTCAGCACTTTCCAGACACCAAACAGCTCACACTTTCCTTCTCATGAATAAATCTTTCCAGCCATTTTTTTTGTTTTAATTTACTAAGCAGGAGAGCAAGCACACAGGTGCAAGTCATGTGAATTAATTACTAAGCAAGCAAGCAAGAATACTGGAGAGGAGAAGGCATAAAACGTGTCAGAAACAATTATAAGACTGGTCGATAATTCCAGAAAGTTTTCGACCAAACACTTCTCGATCACTAACTCCTGTCCTGGTTTTGATAACTCGTCCAGCTTGATTAAAATCAACCATATTAATTAATACTCAACCTGAACTATCTAGAGAATGTTTTTCGATCACAAGACAGTCCAGTCAAGGCATTAATTCACCGGATCGGTTTTTATTTATGAAACTGATTGGACCAATTCATACTGGTTGAACGGAATTTGTCTCGACCAAAAAATCATTGGCTCGTGAAGGTCATTACACCAGAAGATGCAACAGAGATTACCATGTGTTGCCTAGTAGGTGAGAGTTGGCCTTCAACGTCACATTATGTGACTAAGTTTTAGCTGCCCAATTTTGTCAGGAATGCTATATCGATACATCCAAGCTTGGTCTTGAATTCACAATCATCTTCTTTTGAAGAACTATCTTTCTTATTTTGGTCTGTTATTCTAGTTTATGCTTTTTATCGAAGAGGATGGATAATTCTCTCTTGTGTTTGTACTGAAGAAAGTTAGATGAATGAAAGTTGTGTTCACAAAGAAACCATAAAACTACAGTTAAATCATAAGGTAAATGACTCGTGCTACCTAAACCAGCTGAAACTTGAAAGAACAAGATACCTAGCCCACAAAGATGACTATAGTTTTCATTAATTGAACAGAAGACATGTCCATAACATAACCTTTTGTAATTAAACATAATCTTGTTAGCTGTATATTTAGATCAATAAAATACTTAATTGCAAACCGTAGCAAGCCAATCAGATAGTTACTACTAATTAGGTATTAGACAAATAATGAAGATGATTATATTATCAAATTCTTTCGTTAGTGTTGACAATTTTAAAACCAGCAAGATTGACTTTATAAAGTAATAACAAAATCAATGGCACCATCGAACCAATATAAAACCAAGCTATCGAAACAACCAAAGATTATATGTCTAATTTAAATTTCTGATTCTAAACTAGTTTAAGCATAAGTACATATGAACCAATAATTATCTTAATCAATTCAAACAGACGATTTATCAAACTAAACAATAGATCCAATTTAAGGTTCACGTACATGTTTTGTGTAAGAATAATTTAAACCAATATATCAAATATAGTTAAATCACTTAATGACAAACCAACGATTCTTTATTAATAACTAGGACGGGTCTGCGTTATGCACGGGATATTGACTATTTGTTGTTTCCCGTTATTATATATTGGAAGGAAATGTTGTTTGTGACGTGAGTTAGCATTGGGAAGTATTGTTTCTTAAAGAACGATAGCTTAGTGTGTTAGTGTATTGAATACAATGTTAGCATTATGTTGATGATTTTATTGTTAAGAAAGAGTGTGAGAGAGCTTAAATATATTTCGCACATAGTTTATCTCTGAATTCTAAAAAGAGACCATAAAGTTATAGTTAGTTACGGTTTTGGTAAAGTTTATTACTCAAATCATAAAGATGAAGTTTGAACTTTTGTTAATATATATTTAAGAAATTGGTGGGTTTGGTAGCGAGTACGTCTGGTTGGGGCTTTTGAAGATTGGAATGTAAAGTTTGTTTAGTGTTATGCTGTATTTCCTAGACCCGTTAGAAGCAGTGAGTTTGTCGTGTGTATGTGTTATTAATTGAGTTTGTGCATCATATTTAAGGTTTTATTGTACTGAAAAATAAGTCTACTAGATATTATTAGTTTTATTATTTTATTTTTTTAGTTCAGTTGGTAACTTGTTTTCCTTGTTTTTAGAGGATGTAGACTAGTTAGTAGTCAACTCTTGATGTTTTTAATGTATTTCTGAAAGTACATCTTTCTAGATCATGCAATGATCAATCGTTTAAATTGCTTATTTAGACGATATAGTAATCAACTCTTGCTGTTTTTAAAATTTGTACTTTTCAATGTACAACTTTGTTTCAATTGGTCTTTAACTAAGACTTTATCTCTTACATTGATTTCATGTGTTTACAGCGAGATAGAGCTTTCGCATGAACATCTCATCTTTTGGTTAGAAACAGAGCAATATGTTTACCTAATATCTCCACATTATATTCTTTTGTATAATGTTAAAACACTACTTTAATGTAAGCAAACTTTTATTTGTATTTGTTAGAAATAGAGCAATTAATACTTAATGACTTGCGAACCTTATGTTAAACTGGAAGAACAATTATAAGATTGTCTTAGAAAACATAGCAAAATAGTTTTCAGGGAAAATAAAAGACAACGTTGCGGACACATTATTTTAAAAGATACTACATACCCTTCCCCTAGGTGGTGCACGCTTTCTTGGTCAACTTGGTAGATGCTGGGGCCAGTTTTTCTTTTGTTGATGAGACCACTTGAAGTGAACTTCACATTCTTAATTATTTTTCAGGAGAGTGAGTGATAACACCTCCGGAAGAGATGCGTATATACATGTCCCAGCTAGAGATTATCAGAAGTACGGAGAAATTTGATTCGGGTGATGCGGAGAAAGACGCCTTGAGGCAAGGAGGAGGAGATGAAGAGAGCGACATGTGGCCGGGATGAGACTTAACCACCTTAGGCGTGCTTACCATAAAGTAAATCTCTACGACTTTCCGTCTGGTCCTTCTAACACGTCCTTGCCGTCTACACCACCTAATCAGTGGCGAATCTAGAACATATTATTTGTGGGGGCATAAAATAGATAAAAAGAAAATAAATGGTGAAGGAGGTTTTGAACACTGGAAAAGAGGGGTCAAGTAATTGAATGGAACCAACTATGCTGTAAAATATTTATTGTTTCTTATGCAAATAAATTTGTTTTGATATTATTGTGGGGACAGCAGCCTCCTTCTTAGTCAACCTAGGTTCGCCACTGCACCTGATAGTTCCCCATTTCACATCGAAGAAATGAGGAGATAGATGAGTATGAATAATCTAAAGTGAAAGCTACTGGGAATTAAACAAACGAAAGCTACTGGAAAAAAAATTGATAATCAAGACATGAACAAATGGTTCTTTGTTAAATAAATATTTGGACTAAAAAGTTTGATTATCAATATATGAACAAAGTGAAACAGAATCAACAAACCAAACAATAATCATCTCGAATATTTAATGATTTCAATGGCAGAATTACCTTTGCGTCGAGGAGCATGTAAACCCCCATAAACTCGCCGCTGCGCTTCACATTCCAGACTTGCTAGAATCTTAGGAGGTGGACCTCCACGGTGGAGATACAACAACCAGACTTCAGATCGGCGAGGAGGACAAAGGAATTAGCTATTTTCGAGGATAGATTCTTATATCGAAGATTTATGGATCTAGAAGTTCTATTTGACATCCGCATCTGCATAAATTTTTATATCAATATGATTGTGAGAGATAGAATAATGAATTTTTGAGATACAAACTCATCTTTTTATAGCTGCAGATTCAAGAAACTGAAGAAAATAAAGATCTATTGAATGAAAATTCGTATTTAAGGATAAGAGACGAACAATGAAAAAAGAAGAAACAAAATTATTATGCTACATGTCAATTTTTCATGCTCTTATTTGATGATATGGCATCATAAGGAGAGATAAAAGTCTTCTTTATATATAGAAGATAGATAGATTCTCAAGCATAAAGAAAAATATGTCACATGTCAATTTTCATGCTCTTATTTGATGATATGGCATCATAAGGAGAGAAAAAATTCTTCTTTATATATCTATATATATATAAAGAAGTCTTTTATCTCTCCTTATGATGCCATATCATCAAGACGTATGATAGAATGGAATGATCCTTCATTGAGGCTACCATGAGGCAGATGGGTTTTTCAGAAATATGGATAACATGGATCATGCGCTGTATAACATCTGTTAGGTACAAGGTACTGATGAATGGTCAGCCAAGAGGGAACATTGTTCCAGAGAGAGGTCTACGACAAGGGGATCCTCTGTCCCCTTCCATTTTTATTCTGTACACGGAAGCGCTCGTTAGCCTTCTAAATCACGCAGAGAACCAAGGGAAGATAACGAGGATGCGCATCACGTGTGTGTCCTTCGGTATCTCACCTTGTCTTTGCTGATGATAGCATGTTCTTCTGTATGGTGGAGCCCCGTGAATGTGAAGAAGTAATGAAAGTGGTCAAGAAATATGGACAAGCCTCTGGTCAATGCATTAACTTTGACAAATTTTCCTTACTCTTCGGTAAGAGGATTGGACATGAGGTTAGACAAGAAATTAAAGATACCCTTGGCATTCAGAATGAAGGAGGAATGGGAACATATCTAGGAATTCCGGAGGATATCATGGTTAATGGGTGGACAGGAAGGTGGCTATCAAAAGGTGGAAAGGAGGTTATGATCAAGTCGATCCTATTAGCTCTGCCAACTTATGTCATGTCCTGTTTTCTCTTGCCCTTGGAAATATGTGATGCCTTAGCTAGTGCCATTGCACAGTTCTGGTGGAGTTCTAATCCCCCAAAAAGGGGTATCCATTGGTCCACTTGGGACAAATTATGTTTATCAAAGGAGGAAGGTGGGATCGGTTTCAAGTTGATCCATGAATTTAACCTGGCATTGCTAGCAAAACAATTATTGAGACTGAGCCAATATCCAGATTCTCTGGTTGCTCGTGTAATGAGGGGTCGGTATTATCGGTCAAGCTTGCCATTGCGTCAGCTTTCTACTAGTAACCCATCATATGTGTGGACAAGTATTTCGACGTCACGAGAATTGTTGTTATTGGGTATAAGACAGAAGATCCATTCGGGATATGAGGTGAAAGTATGGGAGGACCCTTGGATTTCTACTATACCAGCGAGACCGGCAATCCCATCTGTACCGGTTTTGCATCCAAACATGAGAGTAAGTGATCTTATTAATCAAGAGACAAAGACCTGGAACGCGACAAGACTGGAACAATACGTCAACGCTGTCGATATACCTCTCATAAAGAGTATGTCCATTAGTTCGACACATCGTAGAGATACATACTGCTGGAGCTATACAATGAATAGAGAATATACAGTTAAGTCTGGATATTGGGTGGCACGGAATATTTTAAACCGGGAAGAAATGCCTGTAGTTAGTGAACCAAGTATTACTAAAATACAAGCGCAAGTTTGGAAGGTGCGGGCTCCACAAAAGATGTGCCATTTTATGTGGCAGATAATAACATGTCATGTGGCTGTTACGAGCATCTTAAACTATAGACACATAAGGTGTGACAATTATTGTCCACGTTGTGGAGAACCAGATGAATCAATCACACACACCATCTTCTTGTGCCCTCCTGCAAAGCAAGTCTGGGCATTATCGTCATTACCTACTAGCCCTTTTCTATTCCCACTGCAGAGCATATATGCGAACATGAACTACCTTTTTTGGAGGAAAATTACCATAAAAGGACCGACAGTAGACATGGATCCTTATCCATGGTTAATATGGTATATTTGGAAGGCTCGGAATGACAAACTGTTTAAAAGGATTGATAGATATCCATTGGAGACAGCACGATATGCAGAGAGTAAATGCCATGCCTGGTTTCAAGCCAATGAGCAGACTCCTTTGCCGTCTCAAGTAGATACGAATGGCGACAATCAGATCATAAGTCTGGGGAGTATTTTTCTGGTGGATGGTTCCTAGACCTCTACAGCTCAGTTCAGTGGATGTGGATGGGTATGGCAGGATAGTATGGGGAATAGTCAACTGATGGGAATGCGTAACTTTGATAGAGTGGAGTCTGCTTTGCATTCTGAGCTGTAAGCACTGCGGTGGGCAATGGAGATGATATACCATGATTTTGACCCGTTTTTGGTCATGATTTCTATATGTTTTTATTATAATTATCTATGTTTTGGAGTCTATTAGGTATGTTTTCAGGTTCAGGAGCATTTTGTCGTAAACTGATGATTTAGGTGCCTTATGGAGCTTAAAGGAGAGTTTTACAAGATGACTGTGAAGATCCGACATTGAGAGACACATATCGATCGATACACACCTTGTGTAATCGATCGATGACGATTCCGTAGAAGTTGAAGTCGAGATACTCCATCGATCGATGTACGCAATGTACCATCGATCGATACAGAGCGTGATGAGCAAGATTTACTTGGCCGACTTGAAGCCCAAATTCTCACCAAATTACAAGACTGCCCCTGACGAGTTTTTAACCTAATTGTACTCCATATTTATAGTTATGCCTATGAGCCCTAGAAAGACACCATTAGATCTATTAAGAAAGTTTTGTATTCTATTTTTACCTAAGCAATAAAAGTATTTTCTTATCATCTTATTCTTTTGCTATGAATCTCTTGGCTATGTCTGAGTAGATTCATCTGTTAGATTTGGGGTTCAAATAGTTATGAGGGATTAGCCCTAACTATGGATTGTTGAGTTGTTATATTCATTATCCAAATGAACCGTAATGCTTACTCTAGATTTGCTACCTAGAGTTATGATTATGGAGTGACTAATCTAATAGTCATTTTCCTGAAATCATTTGGCTAAACCCAGACTCTATTAAGGCTCGATGCGACAACCGGTCTGATAGAAATTCTCGGGTGAACACAGTTTCAATCCGATCTGATACTATATATCGATCGATGCTCCTCTAAAGTCATCGATCGACGGCAACATATATCGATCGACACTGCGATAGCAACATCGATCGATACTGTCGGAAATCAGATCAATGGATGAGTTTAATAGCGACAGCTATAGATTTGTCTAAGGATTAT